TAGGGTGGGTATAGGGGTTTAATAAAAAAAACCTAGGCCGGTTTCGGGTTGGGGGACTCAGATCCCCGCCCCAAATCCGCCACAAAACCGGCCCCAATTAATAACTGAAAATATTTTATTATGATTTTATAAACCCTATATTGCTTTCACTTTCAGAATTTCCATATTCCTAAAGATTTATTTCAGACTTTCTATATTCCTAATGATTTTTTTAAGACTTTCTATATTCCAAAGATTTCTTTCAAACTTTCTATATTCCTATTGATTTCTTTCAGACTTTTTATATTCCCAATGATAGTGAGGCGGCATATATTCCCGATTTCTTTTAGACTTTCTATATTCCCAATGATAGTGAGGCGGCATATATTCCCAACGGCGCATAGATTTGATGAAGCAATTAGCAGGTACTCCTACAGTCCTACCGTTCTACACTCTTTCCTGCTTCCTTCACCGGCCATCTTGATCCACCACCTGAGCTGACCTTCGCCTGAGCCGACGTCCCTTATTTTTGCAGATATTTTTTCTCAATCACAAGTTAGTTCAAACAATAAGATCCATCAATTGATACTAATTTAAGCCAAAATGTTTTTCTTGCAATTTTTTGGATCGGATTTGAAGTTTTTCTTGCAATAGCGTGTTATATCCAATGTTTTTTTTCTTATTTTTTTCAGATTCTAAATAGAGTGCAAATTTTGGTGTCATATATATCAAATGGGAAAATTCATTACTGTTACGAATCACTAATATATTTTGATGTTATGTGAGATGTTATATATATATATAATGATTGAGATGTTGTCTTTTTTGCATAAAGGTCAAATAAATGGTAGTAGAAGTTTGTTGAAGATGATAATGGCCCCAAATAGTCTGACGTTTTTATTTGGCAATGCAATTATATAATATAATATATTAATATACTATAATACAATTAACATAGATACATATATGTGTGTGTCAGTGTGTGTATATATATATAATTTTGTATTTTTTATTTATTTGTATGTATGTCCATGGAATTTTTATATCTTTCTACTAATTTTATATTTTGGTTTGCATTTTTTTATATCTAAAAACAGTAACTTGAAAGATGTTGGAGCTGGAGTTGGAGGGAAAATCTGTGACTTCTTAACCTCAAAATATAGTTACAGAACTTACAGAGCCTTCAACAAATGCTAATTTAACTCCAGTTGTCTCCTCATTTGTTGATGTCCCTGATGAAGATGTAACAGGTGATACAAGTAGGAAGAGAAAATTGATGTCAACTGTTTGGAATGACTTTTCTAAGGAAACAATTGATGGTGTAAAATATGGTGTTTGCAATCATTGTAAAAAAAAAAAAGTTAAAAGCACCACCTAGTTATGAAACAAGTAGCTTGCGTGATCATTTAAAAAGGTGTAAGAGGCATAAAAAAAATTGTCACTTGAGGCAATATGTTTTGCAAGGCAATCTTAAAAAGATTGAAGGTCAAGTGAATCAAGTGGAATATCGTAATTTTGTGTTTAATCAAAATATCTCCCGACATGAGTATCCCTTTGCCATGGTTAACCATTGTCTCTTTCAAAATTTTGTTAATAACTTTCAACCTATGTTTAACATGGTTTCTCGAAACACAATCAAGAGTGACATCTTAAAGATCTACAATTCCGAGAAGGCTAAAACATTGATCACTTCTGATATATGGACTTGTAACCACTCAAAGAAAGGTTTCATGGCAATAACAGCTCACTTTATCGATGACTCATGGAGATTGCAACGAAGAATTTTGAGGTAATTTTAATTTAATTTTTAATATGTTTATTTTTTTTCTTCATAATTTTAATATGTTTATTGTTTATTTCATATAATGCAATATATATGTTTATTGTTTATTTCATATAATGCATTTTTTTGTTTCACTTCATATATGTTTATTAATTATGCATATTTTCATTTTATTATGTTTTAGATTTACCTATGTGCCTGCTCCACACAATAAGGAAGTTCTTTCTCAGTTGCTTATTGATACTATGTTAGATTAGAATTTTGATAGAAATTTGTGCACCATTACCTTAGATAATTGCACCACAAATGATGCCATCAATGGTACTATCTTAGACAAGGTTGATTCAAGTACATTTTTACTTGATGGGAAGATTATTCATATGAGATGTTGTGCACACATCTTGAACATGATTGAGAAAGATGGGTTAAAAGTAAAGGGGGATGGAATTGAAAGGATACGTGATAGTGTGTATTTTTGGACAGCAACACCAAGTAGACTTGAAAAGTTTGAAGAGGCAGCTTGCCAATTGAAGATTCCATATAAGAAAAAGTTAGCTATGGATTGTAAAACCCGTTGGAACTCTACATATCTTATGCTTCAAGTCGCTTTAATATATAAAGATGTGTTTCCACGGGCAAAGCAACGCGATAGGCTTTACACTAAAGTTCCAACTAATGAAGATTGAGAAATGGGGAAAGAAATTTGTGCGAAGTTGAATTATTCCACACTGCTATAGAGTTGTTTTCTGGGTCTTCTTATCCTACTTCAAATTGTTTTTTCCAAAAAGTTTGTGAAATTAGAGTTGCACTATCTACTTGGCTTGAAAGCCCACTTGAGATCATTAGAGTGATTGCATCAAAAATGTTGGTTAAATATGAGAAATATTGGAATTTTTGTCATTAGGTGATGGCGGTGGCTGTGGTTTTAGATCCACGATACAAGATGAAGCTAGTTGAATATTATTTTAATATAATTTATGGACAAGAAGCATTGGTTGAAGTTCAAATAGTTTGACAAATTTGTATTGATTTACTTTTCGAGTACCAAAACAAGTCAAGCTCAAATAAAAGTAGCGTGGGTGGTTCATCTTCCAATATTACTTCTTTTACTGAACAAGTGGAAGTTGTGGAGGAGGATGATTTGTTAAAGCTTGACCGATTTGTAAACTTGAGTTCATATGAAGTGCAAACAATGACTGAGCTGGACTTGTACTTGGAAGAAAAGTTGTTGCCGAGAGAAATTGATTTTGATGTCTTAGGTTCGTGGAAAACTCATGGAATTAAGTATCCTCTTTTGAAAAGGATTGCTTAGGATATCTTAGCTATCCCAGTGTCTACAGTTGCATCGGAGTCTGCTTTTAGCATGGTGGTAGATTGGTCAGTCCTCATCATAGTAAACTTCATCCAACTACTTTAGAGGCTTTGATGTGTGCTTAAAGTTGGTTGTTGAGTGAAGAGAATGGACCAAATGGTAATTAAATTTGATTTTTATTAAATCTGATTTTTTTTTTTGTTAAATAAATTCTCTTTAATGTAATAACTATCTAAAATGTTTTGTTTTATTTTTGGGAGCTCATTCAGACAAAGACCCATCCAATGGCAATATATTTTGTGATTATGATGATGATGATTCTCCAAATTATGAAGTTTTGGACTAAGGTATTACATTAATTTTTTTAGTATTATACCTTATTAGTTTTTCTTAACTTAACGTTGTTTTTTTTAAAAAATTATTGTTTTTATTCTATTTCAGATTAGGTTGGTGACAATTAGTGGTTTTGAAGAGATCACAGAGAATGGTTTCAGATTTAGGCTACTGTTTAGGCTTAGATTATGGCTACTGTTTTGAATAGTTTTATTCCTCTTAATTAAGGCTATTGTTGGAAACTCTTACGTTTGTTTTTTGGCTATTTTTTTGGAATTTCATTTTTCTTGGAAGAATGTTATTTTTGGTTGATTAATGATGATGTTGGATGATGTTGCTTGAAATATCAAATTTATGTGGATCTGTTAGAGATTTTAAGATTTATGTGGTTTTGTTACAGAACTACGACAGAATCAAAAAATTTGGAATTTTCAAAATTAATCGGTTATGGAGCGGGGGCGGGGCAGAGGCGGTTATGGGGATTAGGGGTAAAAAAATTATCGGTTATGGGGAGGTTTTGGGGGTGCCAAATTTAAACGGGAATGGGGATGGGGAATGATAAACCAGTCCCATTGCCGTCCCTAGAGGCATCACACCTAGGTGAAGTGTCATCTGTGCCAACTAATCTCTTGTAACAAATTCATCAATAGTTGAGGAGGGTTTTGTACAAAAGAAAAATTATCTTGAAGGGAGTAATCTGTAAAAGATTTATAGTGAAAGGAGGTACAATGCAATTTGCTCACACACACACACATCTTATATATATAATGGCTTGCATTCAATTTTCGCATCTAGTGCATGGAGGTTTATTGGCTTATTAAATATGATTATTATACCTATGCGGCATTCTAGCTTGCTTTATGAATTAAATTCCGCCGTCGAATCTTTATCACGAAACTATAAACGGCTATAAAGATTTGGAATGCATAGTACTTATTGTATTTTCTTTGAACATTCCGAACTAGTGATATTATATACGTTAGTATGCGGCGTATATGAGAATGTAGTTTTCACAGTTATATATAACAGAATAGTTATGAGTCGATACTCACTTGTTCAAGGAGACAACATGAGAGAACATGTATTCTTGTACTCATCGCAAATGGCCTAATAACTCTATAGACATACTATATATAACATTGTTTTTCTCAGCTTATTAATTTAATAAAAAAGAATATGAAAATGGCAGTTTAAGCCGGCCTGCTCAGTGAAAAAATATATATAACATGAAGTTTTTGGCCTTCCCATTCAATCTCTCAATCAGCAGAGAGTTTTTAAGATGATTAAGCTTTGGGATTTTCTCCTTCATGCTGCCACATTTCTAGTGCTCATCTTTCAACAATTTTGTGGTAAGTTTTAGTCTCTTATATATAAGGTGATACTAGCTCATTTTCGATTTTGGATTAATCCAACACATGATCCTTAATTAAGAATTGGGATTGCTATAAATGTTAGTTTATTTATATATGGTTAATTAATTAATGGTTTTCATTGTCATCATCATCATCCTAATGTAATGCAAAGCAAAATGTTTTTTTGTGCATGTGTTTCCTGAACTTATATATATCATTTAATGCTTTAGATGGGAAGGTGATGATGGAATATATTGGAGCCACAGGCATTCCAGTCAGTTTTGATGATGTTCCAATTGAAAAAGGCATTGACTTCCACTTCATCCTTAGCTTCGCAATCGACGCAGACTCGTTAGGCAATCCCCAAAATGGTAAATTTTCACCCTACTGGCAGTCAACCTTAACCCCGGAATCAGTTGCAGCTATCAAGGCACGCCACCCAAACCTGAAAGCCTTGGCTAGCCTCTCCGGCTGGAGCCTAGGTCAAAAGGTCCTGCGCTGGTACAAGCCGGCCAATCTCCAACTTTGGATATCCAACGCTTTCTCCTCCCTCAAATCCATTGTCACCACTTACCATCTGGATGGTATAGACATAGACTATGAAAATTTCCCCAAACACAACGAAAGTTTCGCTTACTGCATTGGCGAGCTCATCACTCTCTTGAAGAATCAAAGAGTCATCGCCGTAGCAACCATTGCACCATTTTATAGCACCGTGATACCATATATCCAGCTCTTTGAGGGATACGGAGATGTTATTGACTATGTTAACCACCAGTTCTACACCGACAAGGTTAAGACACCGAAAGGATATCTGGAAGCCTTCAGGCTTCGGACCCAGCAGTTTGATAAGGGTAAGGTGCTGCCTAGCTATGAAGTAAATGGGAGGGGAATTCAAGGAGATGCATTTTTTGAAGCTTTGAAGCTTTTGAAGGGGAATGGGTTTGATGTGAATGGAGTGATGATATTTTCTGCTGATGCTTCTTCTTCCAATGACTATTACTATGAGCGAAAATCGCAAGCTTTCTTGCTCAATTCATCAACCAGTGTATGATTTATTACTGCAAGCTTGTACAAAGCTAGGATATGAATATGCATTGAGCAGGCTCTTGTATGAATTACTAATAATAAAGTGTAATTTTTTTTTGTTGGCATTATCCAGTCTAATTTCCAAGAATTCTATGCAAAAAATGATTTTTTATCTATATACCTTATGTTCAGCTCGCGGAAAAGCGCTAGTTCTACTTTCCAGGTGAGTGGAAAGTGGGAGTGGATGTCGGGCGTGCTAGGAACTGCTGTCGTTCCAAAGTGGATATCCGAACAACTATCCAGTAGGAAATTGCAGGGATCAGGCGATTGAATGAAGGACTGGAATTACCACCTTCAAGGGTTCTTTTTGCCTTGAAAAAGGACTTTCGGACTGAACTATGGCTAGTGGAAAAGAAAGCGGTATTGAAAGTGCTGGAAAGTAGGAATAATAAGTGCAGGACTTGAATTAAACATATTGAAGGTGCATTACATGAATGTAAAGATATTGAAGTGCTGTTTTGCTGTGTGATTTAAACAGGGTTTGCAAGTGAAGCCTAAATGTTCTATTTATAGAGCTCTCCATGCATGTATTAACTAGGTGTGGCAACTTCAGCAGCTTCCCCTTGGAATGGTTTCGGACTGCCACATGTCCCATGATTCCTCAATGGTTGTAACTTCTTCCATCTTATCTATCTTTTGTTGTAGACTTCAACCACGTCCTCTCTAGTCTTCAACGAATTAGCGTCATGGGTAGTTTCAGAATGAATTCCCACGTGTTCTCTTTGTGACTTGGCAAGTGTCCCATGATTTTGTTCTTTTTCCTCACGTCGTCAACTCCTTTCCTTAACTTCAGACATGATTTCACCAACTGCTGCCTTGTCACCCACGACCCTTGATAACTTCCCTTGGTTAGTGGTAGTTTCCTTATAGGTTTCCACCACTTTCAACCGACGTACTCTCGTTTAGCCAGGTGTCCCACGATTTTGTAGTAGTCTGTCCCTTCTATAGAACCCTCCTTTCATGGCGTCATGGTTTCTGACTCCTGATAAACTCCTCATCGTGAATAACTTCCATCTTGAGACTTTTCTTCTGAAGTTTGGAGTTCATGGTGCCATGACCTCCTTAATTTTGGCAACTCCTCTATCGTGGGTAGTTTCCCATAATATATTTGTACACATCTAAATTTCTCCAACCTAACTCCCTTTCTTCTGTAGACCACGGTTTCCTTGATTTTAGGCTGAACCTTCCATATTAATTTCATGGCGTCATGGTCACCGAGTTTACATCGTAGGTTATGGTTGTTGTTCACTTCCTTAATTTTAACAACTTCTCTTCAACCTTGACTTCCTCTGGATTTAGACCTCATGGCTTCGTGGACTCCCTTTTCACGGTGATTCCTTCATCGTGGGTTAAGCCTATATATATATATATATATATATAAATTAAATCCCACGTCTTGCTAAATTTTAGCAACAGAAGTTGACTTGACTGAACCATTGTTGAAGTCTCTAAAAAATAAGGAGAAAGTTGCCTCTACGTCCCCATGACTTAGTCAACTTTTATTTAAATGGAAAATACCCATCTAATTGGTATCCTACTAAAATAGGATCTTCCAAATAAATTTAACTTTAACAAAATTAATCCATCATGGCAAGTTTAATAAAGCTTGCCATGTGTCGATAAATCATTGGTTGGCTGACTTTAGCCTTCTTATGAGATTGTACTCATGATAATAACTCCATGCCATTTTCTTTTCATTTTAGGACATTATATCCTAAATTTGGTAAGTCCTAAAGGGACTTGCCACTTGCCTCTTTTCCCATAATTTATATGTTCCAAGGTGGAATATTTATCAATATTATAGTCTAACATGGCAAGTTCCATTGGAACTTGCCACGTACCTCTTTTCTATTTAAAGAACCACATTAACAATTCCATGTCACACCTTCTTTTCCTTGGACAATTAGAATATTAAATTAATATGGTAAGCTTTGTCAAAACTCGCCACTTGTCTCTTTTCCATTGGGTAAAATAATGGAATAAACATATGCCCCCCAAATTCCATGCCTTGTAGAACAACTTGAAAATAAGGTGTGGGTTTTGATTTCCGCCATCAGAATACCATCATGGTCGTTTGATTTTCCAATCCTAACGACAACTAACTTCTCGGCTTCCATCATATTAATTTCCTTTAATCACCAATCTCCTAGATGCCGTGTGCCCCTAAAAGACCTATTCGCTGTTTCCCATAAAAATCTCTTTGCTTTCCTTTTTTGAATTTCAAAAATTCCAACTAAAACCCTTCCAATAGTAACCTTAGGTTTTTGGACACTCAAGATAATCATTAAAAGGAAACACGTGGCTGCTCCCCCTGCATATTCTGAGAACATCCTCTCCAACCACTGATTTTCGTATCTTCAAGGAGATCCTAACCATTTATGGCATAGAGCCGTCAGCCTTCTCAATTCTCATTATTCCCTTTTCCTTTTGAAAGTCCTCCTCTAACTACTCCTCCTCAAAAAGCGTCCTTGGACTTTTGAAAGATTTCACCGTAAACGAATAAAATCTTCTACGTGTTATTCGGCTGGTCTCTTGATTCTACCCATGTAAATCTTTCCAGCCGCCAAACACATTCTGTCACCCAATAAACCTCTCATCCATTTATGGCATTACACTATCCAGCTTCCAAAACCTTTTAAGACTTCCTTTTGAATTTTGAAAACCCAACCACCCATCCTAGGAAAACGCTCTCAACCTTTACTTCATTCCTTATCTTTTCTATATATATATTCCCTTCATCCTTATCGTTTGCCACCAACTCTCCTTCTATCATCTTTCCTCCTTCTGAAACCCTAAAGGATATCTCTACCCACGAAAAAATTACAGACCATGGCTCTTAAGAAACCTTCCAAGCCAACTACTAGCTCATCCCTGCCAGCTCTTTCTATTCAAACCAAAACCAAAATTCGAAGCCACAGTCACTAAGTTCAAGTACTCTTGAAGTCTCTAAACCCTGCTAGACTTCATCTTGAAACTCTGATTCACTTCAAAGACTCTTCAGTTGGATTGGGTCCAGCCTTTGCCAACGTGGCCCCCTCTGAATTAGCCGAATTCTACCCTTCTAGTAAGTCTCCACTTCCTTTCGATTCAGAATTCCCTCCTATTTTAAAGAAAGGGGAAAAGGTAAAGCCCTTATTTAGCATAAGAAACTGGCCAATATATCGTTCATCCTGGTCTTCATGGGTGAGTCGTCTTTCCAAAGACGAGAAAATTTCTTCATAGTGGAAGAAACAGGGCATCTATGACATTATCCAAATCAGTAAGTCCTCCATACCACTTGATCCGACCCTCCTCTTTCTAGCCCTTTTATTTTGGTCTTCAACCACCAATTATCTGCATCTTAAATGTGGAATGATGTCCCCCACTTTGAGAGATATTTGTTGCATCACAAGTCTTAAGCCTCATGGAGATGACATAAGTGCCACCCTCTTTGTTGAACAATTCCTCTTTCCAACCAAGACCACTGGAAGTAAGAAGTTTATCTCTTCCCATCTCCCTTTTATTAAACACTGTAAGCAAACTGGCCCAGTTCTAGAAGATGAGCACATTGCTTTCCTGATTTGTTGGCTTTCTGGCCACTTGATATGCGTTCCATCTGGCCAAGTCATAAAAGACTTTGTTCAAGTGGCGGTTTCCCTAGCCAGAAATGGAGACTTAGCATTAGCTCCCCTTGTACTTTCTCATTTATACAGAGGTCTTCATGATCTCCTTACTTCCAAGTTTTCAAGGTTCCAAAGCCCCTTCTAGTTGTTCCAAATGTGGCTTAAAGTGTACTTTCAAAACAGAACTTCACCCCTAGTCACTCCAACTGGAAAATCCCTTCTGTGCCATTCTTTGGCAACCGTAGATCCCTTTCTTTTCAGCTTTGCCGAAAACTTTGAATATTTCTACAATTAATGTGAGACTGGAAACGATGAGTTCTTTGATCCATTCACTGCCATTGGTCGCATGCCATCATAGTTGGTTCCATCTCCCGGAGTGTCCACCAAGAAACATTCTGAAGATTGGAAAAATATTTGGGCCAACTTCCTTATTACTCGTGACCTCCATTACAGCACTGCTCAACCTACTTTGAAGAATAGTTTCTATGGCGTTGAGTTCTACAACCCAGCTCAACTAGCAAGGCAAATAGGCTTTACCCAAATGATTCCTTTGCCACTGTACACACAAATTTTGTAAGTATGCAAATAAAACAAAATATGGAGCAAATAGTAATTTATTAATTTGAAAAATTTGAGTACAATCCTCTGTAATAATGTTCTTTACAAATAAGACAGTCCTCTGATTCGATCTCCTTTTTTTGGTTGGTTGGATCCAAGGGCTGCACGAGCTTATTCTTGAATCACCGTGGAATTTGATGAAGAACGGCACGTCGTTGGATGTGCTTATTGTTGATCACCGTGGAATTTGATGAAGAACGACACGTCGTTGGATGTGCTTGATGTTTTTCGCTTTTGGGTTTGGATTCTGAATTTGTGTCTTCTGAGTCTCTGGATTTCTGGACTTCTGAATTCTGAATTTGTGTCTGAATTTCTGGACTTCTGAATTCTGACTTTGTGTCTGAATTTCTGGACTTCTGAATTTGTGTCCTTTGTTGAATTTGAGGAAGAACGGCACGTCTTTGGATGTGCTTGTTGTTCTTCGTCTTCAAAGAGGATTTGTTGAATTTGGTGCAGAACGGCATGACTTTGGATGTGTTTGGTGTTCTTCGCTTTTAGGTTTGCCCTCAGGATCTTCTGGATTTCTGAATCTCTGGATTTCTGGACTCTGAATTTGTGTCCCTTGAATTTCTGAATTTCTGGACTTTGGATTTCTGTCCCCCTTCTCCTTTCCCCAAGCCTCTATTTATAGGCTTCTTGGATTCATAGGATGATGACACGTGTCATTTCTGATAAGGAAAATATCATAACTGGGCCGGGCCGGTTATATTATGATAATTATCCTTAAAGATAATTATTCCAAATATATTTTATTAGGAATAATTATCTTTCCATTTAATCATCTGGGCTAGGCTAATTAAATAATTTAAGTAGACCAGGCTTGGTCCAATTAAATAACTTAATTAAACATTAGGCCCATATTTAATGGGTCCATTTGTCAAAATTAAAGCCCACTAAAATTTTAATGTCTACAAATTGCCCCCACTTCGAGTCCCACGCTTAA